CCTGTCAAGCGGTCTTTTCCAGGCGAGATAAAAGAGAGCTCGTCTACCATGTCTATAAGAGTAAGGGCTCTCTACGGCTAGAGAGGGCCATCTGGTCAATTCATTCAGCGCAAATGTCGTGTAGTCCTGCATAGGGCTTTCCCATCACTTACTATGGAGGATAAATACAAAGAAATTCTTCACCTTCAAAATAAATTTAAAGGCGATTATAAATACATGGGATAACTTTATAAATGGGTTTTTCCCCGATTACTTTAATTTCTGAAACATCTTCATGTCGTGATGTTCTGCGAATAGCTCTCCAGTTTCTTTAAATTAGGAATTTAGTTTGAGTCGGCTTTTGAATTATTCTTTTCATCAACCTCTTTTGGTTAAAAAAGTGAGCGAGGATAACAAAAAAACAATGATGATATGCCAAATTACAGTGTAACGTAATCTTTCCAGTATGTCACAAAGACGTAACTTATGCTCACCCGCCACTTTGAGTACGCGACGCCAGAGTATCGACAAATTAAAAAACGATTGTAATTTACTCAGTTCCATCAAAGCCGCTACTTCATCACACTTGTGTCTAGCGGGATGGAATGTTTTTTCATATACTCTCACGCAACGAAGCGAAGTTAATTAACACTCTTATAAAGCACACGCTGTCATTGACATGTCAGGTGTGCCACAGACGTGGCACTAAAAAAAACTCTTCATTTTTGGCAATCGTACCACAGTCAATCCATCTTGTACAAACTTGTACAGTATTTTAAATTCATCGAAGTGGAGGTGGAGGTTCTATAGTCCTGCAATTCTTCTAATTCAAGGAGGTTAAGGGAGTTAAAGTTATTGAAGTTGTCCAGTGTAAAGAAGTAGTTTATGAATAATCAAAAGAACATCATGATGATACAAAATCTTACCGTAGAATTTCAATTTAGTATTGCCTTTTTACGCAGATCTGTACGATTTTCGAATTTTCCTGTGGAAAGTCAAGTTCAGTTGAAAATTACCACAATGTCTTTGGAAAGCGGTATGTTAATTACAAACGTTTAGTTTGCGTCATCTGATTTTTGTTTTTGTTGTTGTTGTTGTTGTTGTTGTTGTTTTCGCTACACTTGGTTTTTCTTCCCTTTTTCTTTACCCTGTGTTTCTTTGTCTTGTGTTTCTTGTTTTGCTTTCTCTTACTCTCTCTTTAGTTATTCAATAACCTTTTTCACTGGTAAGATCTGAATGTTGATCCCCCGAGCTAGTATCATACCACTCTCTTTATCAGCTATTCGCAAGAGAATATAAACTCTTGCTATAGGTGAGAAATTATTCTTCATATCCATGAAAATGATCTTTTATCTCGCTACTTGTTGAGAATTTACCCACAGATCATTCCACTTAGTCAGAAGGTTAACAGCTGAATCTCTTTTTACTTTCAGCCTGTATCGGTCTCACAGACATGTCTGGAAATGAAGGGTACGCTTCTTATCATAGTGCGATAGATTCTAAGGTTTAAAGATTTTGTCTTAGTCTACGACTTAGTCTACGACGCTTTTGCCATTGCTGATAGCATTAGCAGCATTCTCAACGCTTATCACATGCGAACCAACTGCATAGCTTAACCTATCATAGAGTTCTCTTTAATTGTCGTAATTCAGTTGATAGAGAATCAAACATCAAATGGCAAGTTCTGAAGTTCTAATCCTTGTGGTAGACTTGGATCTTTTCTTTGTGCAACAGCTGTGACAAATATCCTCATAACATGACTCATAAATTCAGAAAGGAAACAGTCAGTATATCTCCCCAAAACATTTTTGTGTGCCAATTATGGCCTGACTTTTTATCTCTATACTTTTTTCTCCCTTAATTCCTCTGTTATTCCTTCAAACCACTTTTTTTTACCAGTACAACCAAGTAACTCTCTAAGTGTGGAACAACGGACTTATTTCATTTTGCATTCCAGGAGTTTTTCTGAAGAAATGTCGTCTAGAAGTGCGGCGTCCATTTCTTTTGACGATCCATTGGATAAAGTCAAACGTTTCGTCATTGAAAAAGGACTTATGGTGAGATTTCTCAGTTTCGCTCTTAAGGAATTACTTCATTATATTTTGCAGCTTTCAAAATGCATACCGGCGCGCAATGGGCCGGTCTTAGTAAGGTCAACCGTGGCTGCTGTTTATTTGATTCCTGAGAAAATATTTTCTACGTGATTAAATTTTTAGCTCGAGGACTGTTTTCATGATTATGATCCACTGAGAAAAGGACACGTCACAGCCGGAGATTTTAAGGAAGCTCTAAAAAATTCATTTGGGGGACTTCTCACGGAAGAGCAAGTAGAAGAGATACAGACCCGGTATCGCATGGTTGATAATCTGGATTGCTACGACTGGCCAAAGTTTCTTCATGATATTGAAAAAGGTAAGGAAGATGGTTTTTTTTTTAACTGATAAAATTTGCGTATAAGTATAAAATTATATGTAAGTAAGAATCGCAGTTAGTGAATTTTTTAATTTAAGGGCACAATCGATGTTTAAAAGCTTTTTTCCACTGATGATCTCTCAGAATCGTGAATTGAAAAACGCGCAGCGAGCAGCAGTCAAGGCGATTTTCATTTATTAGATACTGAAAATGGTCACTTTCTCACAATTGAGAACGTCCCGGGTTCACAATTGAAACCATTTTTAACGGTTTGAGAAATGCTCATTGATTTCTTTCGATGGCCCTTTACAACGAGCAGTTGGCTGTATACAGAGCACAGCCACGGAGCTGAACTCGGGGCAACCGAAAACAAGTCCAGTGAATAGCAGGCGCTAGGGCTTGAACTCAGGCCACAAGATCACGAGACCAGCGCCCTAACTATTCGGCTACACTGCCTTTATTTTGTCCATGGAGTCCATTTAATAACGTTCAAAAATATGTACGGAATAGACGATCATTATCGTATCAATGCCAGTACGCACCTACCCCTTCCCCAGACCAATTTGTAATCGGTTGACTGTTATTGGCTTAGGGGAGGTGTAAGTACACAGTTGTTCAGCTACTGACACTGATTCCTTTGTCATAAACCTTTAACTTATTTATCGCGAGTTTACGGCACTGAAATCCTGTTTTACTTTCTAGATTCAAATCAAACCTCTCCCAAGCCTCATCATAAGCCCACGCGGCTTCAAAAGGAAGCTGTGCTGAAGAAAGTTGCCGCTCAGCGGATGAAAGGCAAACAGGATATTACAGATTTACTGGCTCAAGCCTCTCTTCATGATTCCAATGGGTATATTATGCTTTCTTTTTCTTTTATAGCAAGTTGAGAGGGAAAAAGTAATGTTAAAACCTAGAGAGAACTCAACCAATCCGTGATAAGAAGCGTTGATTTCTTAAACCAGCGCGAGACGGCTGTATACCACAATACGATTTTACGCTCAAGCTTAGCTTTGTCTAGTCTCCTTTTGTTAGCCTGATTTCAAAGGTGCGAGAGCGAGTGCAGAAGGGTAGAACTCTAAAACTCTTTTTTGTCAATAAGTCTTCAAAACATCAGCAAGATCGTCGGTAGTGCATGAACAGTAAACCCTAGAATATGTCATTTTAACTTTCGTCAGCGTCACTATTTTCATGTTCAAATGCAGAGCGTACAAAAGATGAAGGGGTTTCAGCAAAACACGAGCAGTTCGTGCCGAGAACAAAAGAGACTGACTTACTGTTACATAGTTTTAGGTAGTACTCATGAGTACCACCTAAACTGCATATTGAGGAGTATCGTGCCGTTTTTCGAAGTGGTATATTGAAAGTGCGGTGAAATCCGTCAAACTAGGATGCAAATACTTCCTGATACTTAAAAGGAAAGTACGATCAACAGTCTTACATCAACCGTTTTTTGAAACTCACATAAAAATTAGAGAAAAATGACAAAAAATGAGTCCTATAAACGAGAGAAGGATCCATTTAAGTGTTCTGTCTTGGACAAGTATATAATCTCTATTTTCCTTTTTACAAGGAATGAGAAAATCGGCCAAAAAGAGGAAGAAGTTCTTCAGTTTCTTAAGGGGATTGCCGACAGAGAGGATTTGGAGGTAAGATCATTAACATATTCAATAGCTGCTTGTGGGTAGTGCTGAATACAGGGTTTCTTTTCTCAGTTTGGCTAAATAAAGAAACAGTACAGACGAGTCATTTGCGAAAAATAATACATGCCCAATAACACTTTTCTTTTTTTAATATTTTTTCACCTAAACATACCTTGAGAGACCTTGATGTCTTTGTGAAATAAAATCGTTGTTTACTATGCTGATTCATTTCCGTTTTACGATTTTTATGTTTGGTTGACCTCGATAACGTTGACCGTTCACGAGCTCACCCTAAATTTGATACAGGTGAGCGTGATTGAAACATAGTATCACCGGTAATTGAGATTCTAAGACTCCATCCTCTTGGAACCAAAACATCGACACCAGCACTGTAATATGCTTTGTCTGGTTAACAAGTGCTATTCAACAAGAGATTAGGTTTAGCTATTTCACCTTTCAAGGACACTCAATTCTGCAAATCACTTCCGTTCCTTCTGCCTTGTGCCCAGTTAAGAGGAAAAGCTTAGTTTGAAGCTCCTTTATACTTAGAAGAACTGAATAAATGATTCATAAACATGGATGAGTCAAAGTTCTCTCCGTCAACCAAACCATCTAAAAATTGTCTACGAAGTCGATTTTTCCAGAGCCGTATGTTTAGGGGTGAACCTCCCGCATGCATGGTTACTCAGCTCTATCCCTGACATCCTGTAATGAGCAGAATTGGTACACAACATAAATTAAACGAGTGGTAATCCACAGATACATGACTATTGGGTGCTGTTAAAATACTGAAAGGCTAATGCAGAGTGAACCATCAAGTTAGAAAATCAAAGTGATTCACTGCGGTTTTATAGTTTTCCTGAGAAAAGAAACCTCTCGGGCTTGAACACGATCAGAAAAGCTATCACATGGAAAAAAAAAACGAGGAACAAAATCTTGGCCTTTTCTAAGCCTTTTTATGTTTCACCCCAGGTGATTGTTGCTGTCTACGGAGGCGAGACGAGTTTTAAGTGGCAAGAGTTTCTGAAGGATCTCCAGGTGAATATAACTTTAATATAATTTTAAAATTCGCAGAGGAACCTAAAACTTTTGTTCATATTATCCGAACGTTTTATCAAAGATAGCAAAAAAAATAATCAGGAATTGAATGTCTCACATTAATTTCGAAAATGATGTCTTTTTAATCGAACAGAAAGTGGAAGATTGTCATAAAAAAGCAAGACCGGCTTCAAGACGAAACAAGGTTTCACCACAGTCGAATGGATTTACCATCGATATCCCAGATGAAAAAATACTGAAGACCCAAAAAGAGCACCTATCCTTTCGTCAAAGTCGCAAGCGATTTTCAATTTCCTATGAAACACTAGTTTGGATTGTTTTTGTGATTTCAACAGCCCTGTGTGTGATTGATCGCTTTGCGCTCAGAGGGGATATGATTTTAGGAAGAAGTGGAAAGTTTCCGAAGAGGCTTTGGGGAACTCACCTGGGAGAGACCGCTACTAATGTTGTGTGGGCCATCACCGCAAGACTGATCATTACTTCTCAAAACTTAATGTTCTACACGATGATGAGTTGTCTCCCGAACTTAATCTGCGAGATGGCTCCAAACTGGATCACGATAGACGGAATCCGTAATGTTCATACAAGAATTCACACTTTCGCTGGAATTTTCCTTTTAGCGATACCTTCCCTTGCTCATGTTCTTATCATTTTTCTTCCTCCCCTAATCGATGGCACTCAACTGAAGTATTATCCACCAAGTACCTTCAACTACAGTAAATATCCTGGTCACTTAAACTGGACGAAGTTCTGGGATCCTGCAGCAGTTCAAGGCTGGACTTTTAACGATCACAAGGGAGTTCATCTAACGTCGGACGAGATTTATCGATTCATGCTCGTTATCGTCATATTCTGCTTATTTGTCCCCCTTAGTAGATCGAATTATGCCAATAAAAGAAGCTATTCATTGGCAATGGCGTTGCACGTTTTTGCCGGGATCTGGTACGCCATTGACAACATCCGAAAGATCACCCATGGTCTGTCGCAAGTGGCTAATCTTCCCATTTTAGTTCTCTGGTGCGTTGACAAAATTCTCTCCATTTTGTGCTATCGGCGCAACCGCGGCCACATTGTGAGAAGGGAAGTCCTTGGAGACAACGAATACGTGATTATGTACGTAAAACTGGACAGTGACGTTAAACACGCTGTTGGTGATGTTTACTACCTTCTTCACACAAGAAAAGAAAACACCGGAATGCTACCACAGCGGTCTCATCCCTTCACAACTTTTGCAAATATGTCACAAGATTCAACTTGGGACATTGGTTTGGTGATATCAGTCATTGAGGATGACCAGCAGATGTGTCTCCCTTGGACAAAGTGGCTTGCTACCACCGACGAGAACATCACCCTCCATACATGGGGACCCTATCGGTCATCTGTTTGGAAGCTTTATGAACAGATAATTGATGCATCAGATGGAAGTTCGCCTTCACATTTCGTTTTGTTTGCTACTGGATCTGGTTGTGGCTACATCTTAGATGTCCTCAGTTGTTTGGCCAACAGATATGAACCGTCACAACATAAAAGCCAAACTAGTAAACAGACCAAAATCGACATTTTCTATTCAGTCAGATGTAGGGCATTTTATGAATTCCTGAGGAGACCCATCGAAGACCTCCTGCGGAAGATCAAAGAAAAAGACGTTGCTACTATAACGTTTCAATTTTATGTCACTGGTTCAGAAGTGGGAGATGTCGCAGATGACACAACGGAATCGCCAATTCAACTCATCCATGGCCGAATTAACTTCGCGAAAGCTTTGAAGGCTGCCAACAAGAGGTCCCGTTGTTACTTTATCGGAAGGCCTGCGATTGCCGAAGAGGTTTTAGGAATATGCCAAAAGAAAGGAATCCGGCTTGTTAAAGATTACACAAACGGGCGTGGAAACCAAGAAGACCGTCGTTTACTTATAAAATACCTTAAGATAAGTTTTTGGGTAATATTTGTCACAACCGCCGTTTGCGTTGCCATAAGTCTTGTGATTGATGTCAAATCAATCAAATACTCACTAGAAATCTTAGCAATGAATAGGACCAATTAGTTGGTCCGCGTATCAGTTAGTTTTACAAACCAGTTACGTCGTTAGTTTTTCATCTTCTAAAGGGAACAGTCGCCATTTATCGCCGAGGGTTGGGGGGGGGGGGGGGGGGGGGGGGAGGGGCTGAGGATTTTGATTGTGTCCAGCATTCTATAATCGTTTGATTTTCATGAGAAAATTTATCTGCTCCTCCCATAGGCTCTGTGATATTCTCATGATCCTCCTTCACTGACAGTCGATTTTGTTAAGTCCCACCTCTATACTCTGTGGGTGACGATTTCACCCCCCCCCCCATGTTCCCCCTGAAAACAATGGGATGCCCCCTGAAAAATCCTTCAACCCCCCCTTCCTTCCCATCCCCCAGGTAATAAATAATGACAGGTTCCTCACGAGAGGCTCTTTAGGCCATTCTGCTGAGAATTAAGGATAAAACCATGAAAATCAAGGTACTTGTCTTGAAAGTCTGGTTTAAAAAAATGAAACAGTTAAATATTACAGGTCATTACAAAGTAACATTTCAAAATTTACCCTTAATGTCAAAAACAATTGTGATAAGGAGATTTACGTCAACTATGGAACCCACTTTAGGTCGACTTATTCCTGAAATATGAAGCATAAAACATCGCCAACTGTTTACACGTATCCTTTACAAAAAATTTTACCTTTGAATGTTTTTTAATGCTATATCGGGAGCAATTCCGATTCTTTTATGCTATTTTTGCTAGGCTGAGTCACAATGCATCCAACGGTAGAATTCAAATTTTCATTTTTTACAAAATATTTATCGTGCGCTAGCTTATGTTTTTTCTTCTACTCTTAGAATGACGTCACTCTTAAGAAGCGTTACACGAGGTAGTACTAAATTAACTTATTTTCGAGAGCGAATAGATCCCTCTTTAAATAAGATCCACTTTCCCTAAAATTGTCAGTTTTGTGACTGATTTCTGATTGTTCAAAGATTTTCAGAAAATCTTGATTAGTGATAAAAGTTGGGAGCTTTCTTCAAATAAAATATTCTACTTTGAAATTAAACAGTGTGTCGAAGAGAGTGATGTACCCGCCGAGAAGTTAACCCTTTAACTCTCATGAGTAACCAAGACAGAATTTCTCCTTACAATATCAATACAATATCAATATCAATATTGTTACAATATCAATACAATATCAATATCAATATTGTTACAATATCATTACAATATCAACCAGACAAGAGATATGAAAAGGGAAAATATCAATTTGGGATAATTAGTTGATCCAATACTAAGTTCTTTGAACTAATATTATAAGAATTGTATGATTGACAGTAAGGAGAATTACAAATTTGATCTTTGAGTGAAAGGGTTAAACAATTTAAAAAATCATCTGCTGGCGAAAAGAACAAAATACGAGTTATTCACCAGCGTCATCAAGGGTCGAACTTCAAGATCTGAGTTACTCGTTACGAATAAACCATCAGTGGGATTCAGTTGGTATCTAAGCCCTTCCAATCTTAACCAACCACCGCACAGAGGGGTACACTCTTGTGTACTTGCGTTTAGCATGAATAAAAATTTGTTTAGCGTCATCATGGAAGCCTAGTGCACTGTTGAGAAAATGCAATTTGAGACGCAATTAGTATCTTAGACACCGAGAAAATGGGCTTCTGATGAAAGTATACACAAACCTAAAGTTTACCATAGTTCAACAATTTAATATTTCATAAACTATATCTTAAACAAATATTTCATGAGGCCCTCCACTCACACACGGGTGGTTTTCAGGATGAGCCAGACTGGAATTATAAAACACGACACCAAAAAAATAGGCAGTTTTAGACTGTTTTTAACAATTTTCACACTCTACGCGAGGATCTATTAATCCTGAAGATTTATTCATTCAAAGAACAAGAAAGACGTTTGAAGTGTTCACCATAGACAGAGCCACAGAGTGAAGGCGTTTAGACAAAAGAGTCGAGTGTGAAGATTAATAACGCTAAACCTCCGTAAGATTTATGGTAAAGCAAACATTTTAATTCAGTATGCTTGTTGATACAATTCTAGTTTTCTTGGAAACCCGACTGAAGCCTTCCACTAATATCAGGCACTCAAATAACAAAGACAATTATTGCTGCAATAAAAAAACTATTTCTTGTTCCCTGCTTTTCTATGTTTCAACACTAAAAAACACGCAAGAATCGATCAACTTGGTAGTTCCACCTTCTTTAGGCTACCTCAAGACTTCGAGGAGGTTGTATTCCGCGATAAGGAAACATCCCTTTGGGACATGTTATCTCTGTTATAAAGTTAACCAGCCTTGCTTTCTCATGGAGAAGCCTTCCTTTCACGACGATGACGATGCCGACGATGATGATGCCGATGACGTGACTTCCGGTTTCTGTCACCGGAAGCGTCGCTATCGCTATCACTACTGTGTGAACTATCACTGTTTGTATCTGACTTTTCTTCCTCATCTTGGTGCTTGTTGTGAAGAATGGAATCTCTAGTAGTCTCTCCGTATTCTTTCTTGTCTTCGTCGTGTTTATTCACGGCATTTGATCCGCCTGTGTGACCTCTCCACTCTTTTCCATCGAAAGACCTGTTTGTTTTGCTATCTTCTTCGTATTCACGAGTGGCACTCCTTGAATTTCGTCTAGAGCTGTTTGAGTGTGATTTTTCATCAAGATTGGCCCCTTTTCTCCTAAAGTGTAAATCGTTTTCATTTTCTTGTTGTTCCTCGCTGTCGCTACTACTGCTCGAATTCTGCTCTCTTTTCTTTTGTTTTTGTATTTGTTTGTGAGAGTCAGTGTCAGGAGAAGTAGCGCTACGTTCTTTAATCTCTCTTTCTTTAAAGCTATTCTTACGTCGGGTTGCTGGCTCGTTATCTTCACTGTCATCATTTTTGCCTTCATCTCTTTCCCGATGTGTTCTTGTTAAGCTACTGTGGTTTGTATGATCAGGAGATGAGTGATTATTTTGTTTTGCTATTTCTTTCGGTGACAATTCCCGGTCTGCCTGAGCCTTTATCTCATGCACTGTCTGGGGAGATCCGGAGTGTCTTCGTGGAGATTTCGAGGTTCGTCGCGGAGAGTTCGACCTTCTTCGTGGAGACTTAAATCTCCTTCGCGAAGACCGAGGAGAATTGGAGCGATGACTGACTCTTCCACGTGGAGATCTTGATCGGCCTCGCGGAGACCTTGAGCGTCCGCGTGGAGATCTAGCACGTCTTGGTGGAGACCTTGATCGCCTTTGAAGGAAACGATTGCGTGGTGGGGTGATTCGTGTCACGCTACTATGAGATTCATTGGAGGGTGGAGGAGTGCGATATCGCTAAAAAAAATGAAAAGAAAATTAAACTAAATATTAAATGTACCTGTAAGAACTAAACGGTAGATAAAAGAAATAAGTTATAGATTCCGACATTTTTTCCTTTGCAGCGTCCATGTGCAGCACAAAATGTCGCTTCCCTTTAACCCTTTGCGAGACAAACAACAATACCATTGCATATTACTCCTTACCATATTTCCTCTTCCTCGAAGAATCCTTCCAGACTGGGAAACCTACATAGAAATTATGATTTACTCGTCAAAAATGGCGCTAAAGTTCCTTAATCTTACTTTTATTTTGAGTAGCTTCTCGCAATTGCCAAAAAAATTAAACCTTATATTCCTATATGCAAAATCAAGTATAAACTGAATGCCATGAGAAAAGGTAGCCTTCGTGTAGCCGTACCTTCCCCCACCCAGGGTGAAACAGTAGCGAAGGAGTTCCCTAGCCTCTGTTTCACCTTGGAGGGGGGAAGGTACGGCTACACGTAGGCTAGGGGAAAAGCAACGTATTTCCCGTTTGAAATCATAACGCAATATACTTCGTAACAACTTGATCACATTTACACTCTCTCTCCTTAGGACATAACAGTTCCTATTGAATATACTTTCGTAAACATATATATATGAAAATCTGTTAACCCCTTAAGTAAAGAGATCTAAAATTAAATTCTCCCAGCCAAAAGCCATACTTGGCTGTGGTACTTTGTCCTAGGAATTCAGCACAACAGAATCCCCAAATGACATTCTCCTTAATTCTCACTATCCTTTCACTCAAATACGTTTTAAAAATCGTACGGAGAATTCACCAACTGATCACTTCTGAGAATCAAAGGTTGACTGATATCCAACAAACAGTATTATTTTGGTAAAATCACGACCACATAACAAACAAGAGTGAAAGTCGAGCGTTAGAAAGGACACTTCAAAATTGATAGAGATATACTCAAGATAACTGAGACAGAATCACATGCCAGAAAGGAGAGTTTTGGCGTGATGAGACGATACAAACGAATCCGCATAATCATTATCATTAAGCTTTGGCCTGAGCGTCTTTAAGCTGATTTCAATTTCCTCGCTTCGCCATTTTGGATAGCAAAATCAAACAGCGTAACCTTTGACAGCATGAACTGGCCCCATTAGGATACACTGATTGCTGTGATACCTACCCTGCTCTTGCGGAAGGACGTTTTTTCTGTTGTAGGAGACTTGCTTCTTCTAAAAAGATGGATGACAGTTGTTAAATGAGATAGTAAATTGTGTTACAAGTGGTCTGATGCTGAGCTGATGCTCAGGCTCCATCATTTGAGTTTCTCCGGCAAGTGGAGGAACGCGTGAGGAGAGTGCGGAAAGAGCCCGAAGAACGAGTCACACGCGAGAGGAGGAGCGCGAAAAGAGAATACCCTGAAAGTATTCTCCTACTAGCACTGCGGGAGGTCTGTAAGGAGTCTAGGAACCCTCGTGGACCTCTCGTGCGCCCACATCGCCCGCTGACTTGAATTGCACGGGCTTCGCTGCTCATGTGACAGCACCAACGAGAGCCTGCACGTGACTTCGAAAAAATAAAACGTGGTAATTAATATATCCAACCTTTCTTTCCCTTCTGTAATCCTCTTTTCTCTGACAGGACTGGGGGTGCGGCTTCTTCTAAACAGGAACGAGTTGTTAGGGACATCTGGGATCTCATCAGCAGCTACTGTACTAAAAGGCTCTGGGCTCTTCTGTGATTTCTCGTTATCTGAGCTATTAAATGAATCAAGCATGCATGGCTAATTACATCCAGTCCATTTTTAGTTTTTAAAAAATAACAATATAATAATAATAATAATAATTTATAAATTCCAGAGAAACACTATAGGCGGGGGAAACGTCAGTATGGTATTGGAGAAAGAAAGAGGCGATGGCTGGCCAGGGAGAATATTGTTTCCTTAAACGTGAGCTATAAAGACAAGGGAACAAGCGTCCATTACGAGGCTTTTGACCAGGATTAAGCTTTAAGAGTACATTATACAAGCTTCTATACTCCTATATTGTTTGCATGAAGCATATTATGAAAAATCTTATGTCTCAAGGTGCAATGCACTCTGCATTAAAAATAAAATTGCAAATAGAAACTTTAGTTAACTTACCCATTTTTCATTTCTTTCATTTTCTTGTCCTTTGCCTTATTTTTCTTCCCCTTTCTTTTTGTAGAATCTTTCCGCTTTTCTGTCTTTTTCCTCTTTGACCGCTTTTTCTTTCTTTTCTCATCAGAAGAGGACTCACTCTCTGAATCAGCATTAGACTCTGAACTGGACTCAGTGGCTGTGCTGGACTCTTCCTTTTTTTTCTTCTTTTTCTTCTCTGCTTTTTTAGCCATGGCTTAAAATTAAGTGAAAAAAAACTTGTAATAAAAAGATAGGATAATGATTAGAAGTCAATAAATTTGTAAGAATGGAGCCTGGCTGGGTATTACCCAATGTGACCTAAACTACAACAATTCTGCTCAGGGAAACCATAAGGGCACATTCTGGTTTGCTTAGATTGATATAAACAGGGCTAGATTATTTGAAATTGGATCACTACATTGCTGTTACTGCTACTTTACAGGGTTTGATCCAGTTAGTCCTTCTCTCAGTGGGTGGGTCCATAACAGGATAGCACCATCTCCCCTCTCAATCATTTCACATTCACATAAAAAAGTAAACAACTTTTGTAAAAAGATATTAAAAAGTTTTTGATTTTTTTTGGAAGACTCATTAAACCCACTTAAATCTTAAACAATACACTACATGTACTATACTTATAATCAATATTTTCTCCATCATTATTTTTCTTTTTACCTTTTCAGAGAAGAACACCTGCCTACTCTTATACTCTGACACTACATCATCCAAGTCACCCTTAAAGTTTGCATTTTCCAAAAAATGAATATGAAAATTAGAGGCAAATAAGAGGATGCTTCCATACCTTTAGCCTTTGCTTTTGGAATAAGCTCTCCACAGTTGCTGATTTTGACGTCAACTAAGGGACGACTTTTGTCATCAACTTTTTGATTCTCAATTTCTGATACAACATCCTGTCCTTGAAGCACATGGCCAAATACCACATGGATCCTGCAAGTTTTCAACCAAAGATTGAAAGATGCCAGCACTAATTGCATAATTATTAAACTATGAATTTAGCTTTGGAAAGTTCATTTTTGTTTTGTTTTGTTTTTTTCTTTTTGTCATCAGCCAAGTGTCAGGCCTGTACTTTAAATTACAGGTGTACAGACTGGTTTTTTTAAACACTAATTACATGTAACTCCTAAAGTGAAAGACCACAGTGGAGTACTTCCATGCAATATCAACACATTTTCAAGCAGGAAGGCAAAAAGAAATAAAATCATCAAAAACAGAATTTTGTGCCAGAAAAGTAGGCATATTCTTCATTTTGACTGATTATGAACCACACATCTAGAAGAATTAAGATAATGGTCCAGTACATACAGATACAGTAGACTATACTGTATATACATGTATACAACTACGTTGGCACCTACAGGGTAATCAACAAATGACTTAAACACTTACCCATCGAGATGAGGAGTGGGTTGGGTTGTTCTGTGGGGTAAGAAAGGAACACACATCAATTTATGTGCACTTGGCATCACTGTTATTGAATTAAAAGTTAAAATAGCATAATTCCATTCTGACAGATTCAGATTTTAGAGTTAAACTAATGAATACCTACATGTAGGTACATGTAGAATAAACACATATGGATCTGCAATAATTTTTTGAGGCAATTTTCAATTGCTTATCAATAGTAATCCACAAGTGTGATTGCTATTTTTTTTCTTTTAGTTTGCTTTGAGATTGCTCTATAAAATTACACAACCTAGCCTCTTGGTAGATCAAATGACAGAAACTACACTGATGCTACTACAACAACAGAATGGTCACCAAAGGTTTGTCAAGCAAAAGTTTCAGGCTTTTCCCTCAATATCTTTTATTTGAGTTCTCACAAGCTGTTCTGTGAATTGTACAATACTCCATCTCCTTTACCAGCTGAATCACAGAGGACAGAACTGCTTTTCATTGTAGTTTAGAAAGCATTCTTTAAAATAGTTTTGGGCCACTGTAAGAGTGAATTGGGAAACACTTCCCTGTGCTTGTTTGTTTGTTTGCTTGTTTTTTGGGGGTTTTTTTAATATCTTTTGGCAAACTGACGAGTTTTGACAACAATAACTTAATTCTTGAAAAAATGAAAGATACCAAAACCAGCCACAAAAAAAAAATACTTTGCAAGAATTAAGTTGTAGACCACATGAAAAAATAAAATGAAAATTGTGAAAACTGAGTAAAAAGAGCCTAACATCTCGTGATCAAGCCCCTTTCCATTCAACTGGCTGTTATTAAACATAATTATCATGCTAAAAAGAGCTTCAAAGTTAAATAACTTAATATTTCTTCTAGTACTCACATGAAGAATTGTGATCCATTGGTATTAGGGCCCCTGTTAGCCATTGATAGCAACATTGCCCTATCATGCTTAGCATGAAAAGATTCATCTGCCACGCACAAAAAGGAAAGAAATTTATATTAGAATCTCACCATAGAGATTTTGAGCTTTTATACTTGCTGTCTTGACCTGAATAGTTCTTGGCAAAAAAGTTCAATGAAAAATATTTTACCAGAGATCAAATGCACTTTTAATCACTAATCCATGATTATGACTGGTCTTAAAATAAATCCACTGTACATGTCATTTGGCAGCAGATCACAGACCCAGTAAAAACTTTGAGAGTTGCTAATTGTTCTCTTCCTGAAATGAATCATTTGTCCTGACAAATCAGGAAACACTTTTAAAATCTTTTCATTCCTAGGAGTGACCAAAATGAACTTATCCAAACAACATCAAAACAGTTTTAAGCAGCAAGAAGATGAGAAGCTGGGAAAATATTAAGAAGGGGATGTTTCTTGATTTGATGTAAAACGTGCTCAAAGCTTGTGTTTGTTGTATACAATGTACATGTGCACTAACCATTAAACATTCCTCCATAAATAGATTCTCCTCCTGTTCCATTCCCTGTGAGGAAAATTTTCACTGAGTTACAGTAGTACAATATGAAAAAAACAGTGTAACCGAATTGATCATTCCAACTGCAAAATGGCTACTTTTTGTTTTAATCCTTAATTAAGTTAATAGAAACAGTGTATTTGAATATTTCCATGATTCAATGACAATTAAGCAGTAGAGTTTTTAATCAGTGTCACCATAACAATACATGTACAAAGACCATACTGCATGTATGTTTCTGAACCCACCTTTGGTGAAATCTCCTCCTTGAACCATAAAATTCTTAATAACACGGTGAAATGGTGACCCTTTGTAATGTAAAGTTTTTCCTGAAACCTTGCTTAGCCCATTTTCTCCTAGAAATAACAAGTTTTTTTAATTATATCTAATGCATAAACAATAGGAAGATGTGCCTAATCTTTTACACCCTTAAAGAGGTAGGTATCTAATTTCCCTCTAAAGTATCACCCCTTAAATCAACTCTAAAGGTCATGAGAATAAAAGAAATGATTGTGAACTCAAGAAACTCTTGATTGTTAGATAAATTCTCCTTATGAGTAATAAAGGAAGTGTAAAGAGAACAGTAAAGAGAACTTGCATACTGATTTTGGGGTGTAAATAGTTAAAAATTCATAGATGTTGAAAGCAAATAAAATACAATAATACATGTAACTTAAGCTAAATTGGTACACTGTACCAGGCAATGGGAAATGCTAAGTCTAGCTACATTGTAAATACTTTATGCATGGAACAGAAAAAGACCCAAGACTGAGGTGGCTTATTTCTGTTGACTCTCAGATATGTTCAAAATTAACAAGTATCAAATTTTCCTAATGATTTGAATATATCATCTGCCACATGGATAATGATTGCAGAGAAAAAAATAATAATATTGCCAAAAGTTTGTTCATTTAATATAAAACCAATTCCACCTGAATTATTTTAACAGCTCAGTGAACTTGCAGATTAAGGATTTTGTTTCAAATAATGATAAATTCTCAGTGCTTTAACCCATTCACTCCCAAGATCTCATCTTCTTACTGTTTTCCATGTACAATTCTTGTGATGAGTTTCGAGAATTTACTATTGGATCAACGAACAATCCCCTAATTGATATTTTTCTTTATTCTCTTCACTTGCCTGACAGAATGTTGGTACAGTAAGGAGAAATTCTGTCTTAGTCATTCATGAGAGTTAAAGGATTAAGTTCATGATTATCATAACATTATTATTCTTTCATTTGCATGCAAATAAGCTTTCTTGGCCTCACTTTTGAGTGAAAATGCAATTGTTTTAGACGTGTGGCCAAGGCCAGGAAGGCTAACTGGCATAAATATAAAAGAGAGTTATTAGGTGATTTATTAATGTGGTCTACAGTAGACAGTCTTCAAATCAGTTTTCATGAAGACTTCATGAAGACTAATTGGAAACAAGTTCCTATGAATGTCACAACAAATATATTGCCATCACTTAGCTTACTATAACTGAGTGTTTCTCTCACCTGTACATAATGCTCTAAAATTATCACAAGTTTTTGGGCAAATATCAGCAAACAGTTCAAAAATAACCCTGCCAACTGGTAAGGAAAAAAAACTTCATTTAATAGATCTAATACATAAAGATAATAGTATTTTTCATGTAAGCCTTAACAATTTCTTCAAAAGTTTTAAGATAATGCATTGAAAATACCATTGGCTGACAATGAAAACATTGGCCAAATTTTCATCAAGATAGACATGTGAAATCCAAGTTAAATTTTTCAATTCTTAGGAGACACAATTCTAGTGTTTTCTTTGTTTGCAGCTGTTTAATCCCAATCATACTCTTTAGTACCTTCTTAAATCAAAGGTAATTTTACACATTGCAGGAAACTGCTAAAAACACCTCATCAAAGTTTCGATAGACTCTCGTGAGTGTAATAATAGACACCTCCGCGATTTTTTTCCCACCTTAGACATTGACCAATAAGCAAAAAATTAATCAAATGGGCTAACTAAAGTTCCCAAAAAACAGCAAGGTTTCCACATTTTTGAGTGATATGTTGAAGGCTACTGAAAAAATGGTGTAAGAAGCAGGTTTGCGCTCCATCCCCCGGAGTCACCTTTAGAGGAGTCTGTTCATATGTCAAAATAATTTAACAGGTATAGCTTCCTGCGATCATCAAAAGTATCAGGTAAGTGATGGATGTTTACGTTGAAGACAGTACTTACGGCCAAAATCTACCACTCTTACAAAAAATAGCTAGAAAACAACACTTAAGGCTTAATTTTACTTGTACTTAACAAGTAGTATTTCTGTTACCTTGCGAGCCGTTAATTTCTACATCAAAAAAGCATCTAGGACGATAGCCTTTCGCTTTAGGAACCGCCATCTTGAATTTTTTACAACCCGAAAAGGTGTCTGGGATACTCTATTTTAGTGAATGACCACTGAATAAAACACTGCAGACTTGTAAAAACAAAATGGCAGTCGCGCTGATTAGAGGAGGGTCGTGTGTTTTAAATTTACCCAATGACTACACCATGTAAACACAAAAAAGATAATTAGGGCCATCAGGACATTTTTGTAAGCTTAAAGTGAAGATGGCGCACGTTACTGTGGACTGGATCCCCCTTGGAAAGGTGTATTACAGGTGAGGTTTTTTCCAATTGTATACTTTCGAGCTCTCTTTAATCATTTCGATTCTTGACCCTACGATTTTTAGGCGTAACGGATATATTTTTGTGGTACGTAAAATAATAGCAAAAAATGGCTTATTTCAATGGGAAACCTCATGAAACGAAATATAACGGAATGATAATTGTACGATCTCAGAGAGGGGTGGGGGGGGGGATCCTGCGTACGCTTCACGCATATCAAAAAGTAGAAACAACGCATCTCGAAAAATCGCAGTAACAATTTTAAGGTTCATGTATGGAAAGAAATCGAAAAATTCACTGATCATAGGGTTTTGATTTGGTATTTTCACAGGTCAAGAAAATTAAAAACTCTCAAATTTCGCACAACAGAAAAACCTCTTTCACTCCCCTCTTCACTTTACTTTCCCTAGGGTGCTGACAAGGAGAATTTGTATTTGACACCAGTTACATGAAGATTAAAAATTATGTTTCCTTTATTTTGTTGTCTGTAGAAAAATTGAGTTATATAGCATGGCCTGGCAAGAAGCTGTGGATCTTTCTAAGTTTACAATAAGTGCCGCTCCATTTGGGGGTCCAATAGGTAGGTAAAAATTTCTTTCATTTAATGGTTATTTCTAATAATTCCTTGCTTAGTTTCCTTCTGTCATTTCTCTGATGATGGCCAATTACTTGTCTGGTATATAAGATCATTTTTATCTGAGGGGTGACAGGCTGACCAAGTTTAGTGTAAATTTTACTCTGTGTGAGTGTAAGACATAGTAGCCTAATGGTCAGTGGGCTGGACTGCAGGTTAAAAGGTCTAGGGGCCTGTTTTTCAATGGTCCCAATAACTTGATGGATCCACAAAGCTATTCTAATTTTTGGTCCATATGGGGGTTCCAAAGGTTTTTAAATCAGTGCAAAAAACTATCAGTTAAAGAAACAAAAGGGACTAGTAAAGGTGCCGGGAACTGTCTCTCCATTCTTTAACTTTCAATTTTGATTTACGGTTTTGGCCTGTTAAGTTATGAGGACTTTCACAAAATGGGCCTCAGGTAAGAGACCTGGCCAGGTCATTGTGGTGTATTCTTTAAGGCAAAACACTCTACTTCCACAGTGTCTCTCTTGCCTTGGAGCTTAAAAAGGTACAGGTAAATTTTCAGGGAAGCCTGATGAAGTGCTGGGGGGATAACCTTGTGATGGACTGACATCCCACCAGAAATGGGGGCGTGGGGAGTAGTAATGCTCCTTGTCACTTAAGCCATGGAAACCAGGTTAAGCTCTGGCTGGATGGGTCACTTGGCTGAAGAACAGACTTAACCCTTTAACTCTCATGATCGCATTAGTAATTCTCCTTACTCTCTGCCAAATGATTCTCATTATGTTAGTTTGGAGAATTTGGTATCGGATCAATTAGTAATCCCATAATTGATATTTTTCTGTATTCTCATCACTTGTCTGCATGATATCGTACAGATATAGTAAGGAGAAATTCTGTCTTGGTCACTCATGGGAGTTAAGGGTTAACATACCCTCTTTCCTATATGTACTCGGCTCACTTGCTCGCCAGTTATCTTTTACAGTACTGAAGATCTCAGTGTCTATCTTGATTCCAAACAAGGGAATGATCACAGGCTAAGTTAAAAGTAAAATGAAGAATTTCATGAAGAGGGAACCCAGTACTAATTTTCATGTTGCATTAAACACTTGCAGCTCTGGTGAGAGATGAAAAACATTTTGTACGGGTCCATGGATCATCTATTAACAAGCCAGTTATTCTTATTTTTTCCTCTGCTGGAAAGGAACTTGCCTCTGTCAAGGTAACCTCACCTTAAGTTTGTATCTAGTTATGATTTAAATTGATTACTTACATCACCATTTAAGTCATTTAAAAACTACTCTTCTCCATTTAAAGCTCCAAAGCATAACAGTGCCACCAAATTCAGTAACATAATTTTTTTCTTCTGTGGAAAAACTGCTTCAAATTGTAATTCTTATAACATTAACCCCTCAACTCTCAAGATCTGTTATTATTAGTAATATTGACAATAACTAATTCTAATTCTTCCATCTAGCTGTTACAAATTTCCTTGAAAATTAGTTTAGAGAATTTGGCATTGGATCAAAGAAACTCCTCCCTAATAAGTTTGAATATTATCATAACCTGTTTGCTGGACAATGTGTATAGTATTAAAATGGGAAGTAACACGTTAATTTTTTCCGAGATTGAAAGAGTTAACCCTTTGACTCCCAGATTAAATTTGTAATTTTCCTTACTGTCAACTATACAATTCTTATAATGTTAATTCAAAGAATTTAATATTGGATCAGCTAATTATCCCTAACTTGATATATTTCTTTATTCTCATCACTTATGTGGTTGATATTGTATTGATATTGTAAGGAGAAATTCTGTCTTGGTCACTTCTGAGATTGAAAGAGTTTAAGAAGTTTCCTTCCTTACCTGAGCTTGCTAGGGTAAAGAGGGAAACTTCTGACAAATCTGATAGATTAGACTCCTTCTGACCCATTGTTAGTATAATTTATACGTGGAAACATTTTTGTTTGCTAGTTTAAAGGCAAGAATCTTTGAACTAGTTTACAGTAACTTAAAGAATTTTTCCTTTTTCCCTTTATTTTATAAAAATGCATGGCTTTTATTAACAAGGTTGAAAGTAGGAATGTCGTTTGGGTTAATTAAAGAGTCCCGGCTCTTTTTTACATATGTTGTGGTTAATAAGAGATGTGTCTGTAAAGAAAAGTTTTTATGCAATAAGTTTTTTCCTTTTTCTCAAAGCTGATGTATTATCTTCATGATCTTGTGTTTTATTCTCCTTAGTGGGATGCAGGCTCAATTGTTCAGATGGGTTGGTCTGTTACTGAAGAACTTCTGTGTGTAGCTGATGATGGCACTGTCTTGGTTTATGACATTCATGGTGCCATCAAGAAAACTTTAACCATGGGACAGGTTGGAAATATGAAAATGATTTTTGTCTCAACAACAGTGGTGTACATTTTTAGTATACAGTGTACATATAGTATTACATGTACCTTTCACGACCACTTTAAATAATTTCTTTAAATCCATGGGCCTTTTGTTTTAAGAATCTTGAAATCTGGTTTTTATGTGTATATTTTTTTTAAAAAAATTTGGAATGACTAAATTTCCTTACTGATTCTTAGGATATCAGAATTCACCTTACTAAATAGCTTACAGTACTGTCTTTTTCTTAGGATGCCAAGGAATCAAAGGTTATTGATTGTAAAATTTATAGCTTTGCTGGACGGACAGGTATAGCAGTACTGACTGGTAGCTACCACTTTTACGTGGCCAACAATGTGGAAGAGGTACGAAGTCGACGGTTTTTTGACCCCCCAGGTAATAAATTTTACCTATCATATTACTGCCATTTGAGTGTGTAATTGTGCAAACTTATCATCCAGGACCAGGTTGTTCAAAGTTGGGTTAAGATAACCTAGGGTTAGTGTGAAATCTGATTTCAGATTTGGAAGCTTTACAAGAAAATTCAGTACCATTCCTTTTGACCACAGTTTGATGATTGGATGTCCTAAAAGAAACAGAGAAATTATCTGAAAAAGACTTTCGATCAAAGGAAAAAAGAAATCCAGATTGAAATATAACACTAGCTTAGCACTAATTAGACTCAAACAACTGGGCACTGCCTTGTCAATAGGCGGGTACCCTGTAAAGAGTCGGAAGCCCAAACCTCTATGGAGGTCTGAGGGCATGCTCCTCTAGGAAATTTTTAAACGTAAGTCTCCCAGAAGCACATTTTCCTGCAGTCTGGAAAAGGAATCTTCTTTCAATGACACATACTTATTCTAATTATAGTAAAAAGAAATGATACTCTGGGAGAATTTGCTTATTTCACTACACAGCTATAACTACATCAAAACACTGCTGTTGTTCTCAGAGCCTCCTTTTTTCTTACAGTTACAAGCTAACTCAAACTTATAAACTGATGAAAAGTGAAACTGATCAATTTTCTGCACCAATACAGGCTGAAGCAGATTTTCACATTTGAAATTTTTGATATATTAATGCTTTTGAATGCATTTCCTGGCTTTATCCTGAATGAAAATTAAATTGGAAAAAAGTTTTTTCCAGTTTCCTTCACTTGCTCAGAATATTTAAGCTTTGAAAGCCAACAAAATGTTGGCTTATTGAGACACGCATGTCAGCTGATGAGCATCTTTTATGGCAACATTGGTCTCTTGTAGTGTATTTCATAAGTGTTTTATGAACAGTTTAAATAATTGAAAGCACAGAAAGGATATGTAATTTATAAAAAACCATTTCACTGAATGTAATCTTATTAAAAACTAATTAATTTTTATTGCTCTTGACCTTTCATATGCAAATGATGCTTGTGTGTTTCGCTCCAATGAATGTGTAATATTAATGTAAGTGTAAAAATGCTCAAAACTAGCCTTTTGACTTCTTCTATGTAAATGACAAAAAAGAATTCAGGACTTGAGTTTTTCTTTTGCTTGCTATGCTGACACAAAGGAACGCATTTGCTTTTAATCATGTCGCACCTCACATGCCAGAGTTATATAAAAGCTAATCAGGCACTTTAAGATGATAAGAATGCAATTATCATGCAGCACCTTCTATTCAAAGTAAATTTTCTTTCCACAATCTGATGGCAAGTTATTGAAAACTTTGAGTAGAAAAAAATTTAAACTTAGAGGCAAGAGTTAATATTTTGTCGAGGTTGATATTATTTCTTGATGATTTTTTTTTCAATTTCGTACTTTAAGTAGCTGGGTACTCTGTTCATAGTAGACAGGTGCTAGTGCCCAGAACCCAGCTTCTAATAAAAACCCTGATTTTCTAAAGTTGCCATTTGGCAACCTAAAATTGCAGAATGGTAAAAAGGCAGACAAAAAAGTTTTTCTTCCCTGGAGGAAAAAAGAAAGAAGAAAAGATGAAAAAGGAAGTTTACTTGCAGTATGACCTATCGGTGATAATTATTTCATGCATATCTTTGCCTTCTTTTAACTTCAGTGAGTGAACTCCTCGAGTAATAAATTGTAATAGGCAATTTGTTAGTAAAATACATGTGTAAAGATTAAATAAGTAAATTAATAATAATGATAATAATAATTATAATAATAATAATAATATTAATAATAACAGGATTAAAGAGAAAAAAAAAGAATTGGCATTGTAACCACAAAAGATTAGTACTGTGAGTATTGTTACAATTGCTAGTATTGCTGCGTCCCTCCACAGTTATTAGCATTATTCTAATTGTTCTTTTATTGGAAGTTGTTGTTGTACGCTTGATTGATAAAGAAGGTTTGGAAATGAAAATCTAAATAATGAAAATTACGATAAAAAGTCAAATTGTGATAGTACATTGTTTATGTCTGCTATAATCCCAGCTTGCCAAACTGGAAACTATGGTCGCAAATTAGATGCCAAAATTGTTGTTGTCTTACCATGGTGAGCAGAATGATTGCAGCTTGGAGCGCTGTCATCCACAATGTGACATTATGACACAGTGATGATACAAGTTTCCCTCTATTGAATTTTTGATAGGGTTGGATGCCCCACCAAGCAGCTGGGTGATAATGCCTCATGAGAGAGGTTCTTCTTTGCTTGTGGCAATCGATCATCTCCTTTACCTCACAGAAAAAAGTCAATGTAACAGACAGGTTGGTTAACCCTTAACACCCTAACATCAGTATGCATATTCTCTATACTGTTCTCTATACATTTCCTCAGGTGCTGACAAGGAGAATTTGTTTAACAATCAAGAGCTTTTTTAGTTGGTGATCATTTCCTTTATTCTCATGACCTTAATGTGTGATTCGGGGGTTATATTGTAAGGAGAATTTAGATGTTAGTCACTCTTAGGGGTCAAAGGGTTGATAAATGCACATGTGCATCCTTTTTTTGGAAACAAAGTTCTAGAACAGCCTTAGCTCCATATTCATCACTGCAAGGAGGAAAAGATAGGAGGACCCAAGTAAATCACATGGAGGCTTACTAGAAATTCACCTCCTGCTCACTAGTAATGAAAAAAAAAAATGAAAAATGTATTTTCCAGGTAGGAAGGTGCCTGAAAAATGCTGTCAGTGACTTCTGATTGACTGCTAGATTCTCCTTCCAGATTGTCTTGTATTTCCTTGTGGAACAGAGGGAGAATTTGATGTTGCCTCAAAAGTCACTCAGTGCTTCATTTTTTTTCACTTAGAACTCCATTGTCTTAGTTAGCCTGGAGATAGTACAAATTGTGAAATCGCATTCTTTGCGCACGTATCTTGTGACCCTTATCGATAGTAAAGATTCTTGCAAGGGCAAAGTGGAAATGCTGGATAACATCTGAAGGACTGTAAACCCGCAGTTTGGTGGCGTGAGGTAAAAAGAAGCTCAGTGGTACGTAACACCTCAACCAACTCTGACCAGGAGAGTGCTTTCCAGGTATCAGAATTTCTCTGTTTTAAAAGAGCTATCCGCCTTAAATCCAACTAAGGCAACCGGTCCGGACGGAATCCCCGGTTGGCTTCTTCTTAAAGAATGCAGATTTACTAGCACTGCCTGTGACTGATATCCTTAACTGTTCGTTTAAGGAAGCACGGTTGCCTCAGTCTTGGAAGGACGCTAACATCACTCCAGTACCAAAGCAGAATCCAATACACGATGTAAACAAACATCTACGTCCAATATCCCTAACTCCCGTGCTTTCTAAGGTTGCTGAAGATTTCGTCGTGGAGAGTTTCCTCAAGCCTGTTGTGTTGGCAAATTGTGACCCTCTACCTACTACTGTCAGTTTAATATGTAAATAAGAAAACATTAGATATGCTAGGTATAGATTGTTAGCACATTGACTTTACATTTTTTGCCTCAAAGGTATCTAAATGGCAAATGTAATGGTAAAAAATAAAAACAGAAAATGATTCAACAACTAGGAAAACTTTGAACAAATAACAACAAACATTTCACCCAAGTGGAATTAGAGTGTATTACCTTTTAGAAATGGAACTAGGAAAAAGAAACACTTATAATACTCAATGTATGTTGTTTTTATTGTTGTCATCCAGACTGTTAATTTCAAGGAAGGACCAGTAAATTCCATTACAGAGATGGCAGTATCTTATAACTGTGAATACCTGGCGATGTTCACAGATACTGGATTGCTATGGATTGGATCTGCAGATTTGGAGGTTTTGTATTTTTACTTGTTTGTGACTGAATGAATGAATGACTTGGTGATTGATGGATGGATTAGTGGATTGATTGACTAATAGATTGATGGACTGATTGTGTAATTGATGGATTGATAAACTAATTGACTGACTGATCAATTGATTGATTGATTGAAAGATTTATTAATGGACTAGTCAAGGGAGAGATTGTCCATAGTAGATTTTTTAATCACTCGTGCTATTTTTAATTGCCATTTTTAAACTTTTTTTTATCTCAGAGGGTTAACCTTTAAAAGTATATGTTAAAGGGGTGATGTCAAGTCATTTTGAAATGTTTTTCTTGGCATACAAAACTACCTTAAAGTTGGAGGTTAAATGATACTGAACTTACATTTAGTTGCCAAGATGGAATATAGAAAGCAAAGAATGGAGAAAATCAACTTGAATCACAAATTCTGAAACTGAATCATTTAAAGCAAGATTCTTTTTTAAGATTAACAAAGTCTGACATACACTTTAGCTCTTTTCACCCAAAAACTTTAGGAGGTGATCAATGAATTAACTTCTCAATTCAATTTCAATACATTATACAGCAATTAGGTGACAAGAATACACACATTTGATGGCTGGAACTTCCCCTCTTGATATTACAGATAAAGACATTACACAAAACTCTTTTGAACTGTTTTATCAGGAAATGTATAACAGCCAACAAAGAAAATTGCTATTTAGATCTTGGGATTTAATTGTGAAGGTCTAGTCTCAAAAATCACCCAAGGCTTGTAGACAGACTCCTTAACAAACTGTGTATGTCCTTTCTGTTTGCAATAGAAAGTCTACTGTGAGTACAACACTGATTGTCCTTCAAGACCCAAACAGCTGGCATGGTAGGCTGTCTGACATATTTTAGTTTCTAGCCTGGATGGGATGGGTAGAATGTGGGATGGGAAATAGTTTAGAACTTTCATGCAGTTGTGACTTCATGGAGTTAACTACATTGTATTAGGGACAACTTTGATTGGGTGAAAGAAAATGTGTGAACCATTTGTGGTAAGTGTAGAACAAAATATCCTCTACAGGGTTCGAAACTAACGGGTGTCCTATTGCCCGGGGCATGTAAAATTTGGCTTGGGCAACTGAAATCTTCAGGCCAGTTGCCCCAGTGGGCAACTGGCTTCCTCCATGCAGGGCAACTGCTGGAACTTGGAAGTAATAATAAAAATAATAATTTAAATCACTTAGAAATAATAAAGAAAACAGAAAACAGAAAACCAAGAAAAGTTGTCTTTTTTGTATGTAGCTAAACAGTAAAAGCACCTTGATTTTCAACGCTCGTCAGGGAGTGAGATCGCAAATGCGTCACTCATGTCAGCGGTACACTTCATGAGAGGATGCACAGAAAGATCTTGAATGCACATGTGTTCAAAATGGCGGGTAAAATGTCAGTGGGCAACTACCTTTTAGAACAGGGCAAGTACAGTTTTTGGGGGGCAACTAAAAATTAAATGGCAGTTGCCCAATGGGGCAAGTTACCTCAAAAGTTAATGTCGAACCCTGCTCTAGGGAGATGCGAACCCCTGATAACCCTGATTTGACAATCAATCTTACTAATAACTGAGCAATTTTTTTTTTGTTGGGGGGGAGGAGAGGAAGATAACACTAGTTTTCAATAGATGAATTAGCTTATAGGAGTTGACAAAATATACTATGATACCCACCGGATAGAGATTTATCCAGAAGCTAGCATTAAGCACCCTTCATGCAACTATGGCCAAATGTTGGTTACTCCAAGCCTGTTCCTGGCATGTAGTTATTAAAACAGAGCAAAATGGTAAATGGTGCAATAGTAATGGCAGAGTGAAAAAGCAAGGAAGGCTTGGGTTTTGTTGGGCTCTTTGCCTGGAACTGCCTAATCCTCTGATCCTCAGTTTTCTTACTTCACAGGTGTGCTATGGGTGCAGTCATCTGTTACTGGAAAGATTTTTTAGATGTGATTGGACCAACAAAAGACACTGTTCGATATCCTTTAATCAAATGTTGTTTTAAGAGCACTTAGAGATTCAACTCTCTCTTGGTCAATATCTGTAAAAATGATGTTGTTAACAGCTTCAGTCCCTCCAGATGGATGTGATCAAAGCAAGAACTTTGAGATTTTACTCTTTAGCTGTTTGAAAGGATTAGTACGGTGTTCTTTTACTAAATTCTTCCAATGATTTTTATACCTTGTTATACAGACGGGCATTGATACTTACATTTATTTCCATGATAAACCATCATTGGCACATCAGTTAAGTCTCAGATCCTGTGAGTTTAAGGGTTCATTGGTTACTCAACTGGGTATTTCTGTAAACATTTATAAGAAACTGTACAGCTTATACAAAATTTTAAATCTGTTTATTTAGAGTTAGAGTGCTTTTTGATCAAATATTGTAAAATCAAAACTTTCCGGTGATCACATCTAACCAGAACAGAGGTGAGCATTTGCAAAGAACAAAGGAGACTTCAAAGTAAATGTAAGTCAACAATCTTAACCTTTAACTCCCATGAGTGACCAAGACAGAATTTCTCCTTACAATATCAATACAATATCAACCAGATAAATGATGAGAATAAAGAAAAATATCAATTTGAGGATAATTAGTTGATCCAATACTAATTAGAATTCTCTGAACTTACTTTATTTTATAGTTGACAGTAAGGAGAATTACAAATTTGGTCTGGGAGTTAAAAGGTTAAATGCAGGAAAATCTGGACGACCGTGTAATTGGTTTTAGTCTCAATTGTTATACATGTATGGAATGGTAAAAGTTCTTTTAGACAAATTGCAGAGCGTAGTGAAGGGAATCGATGCAGTCTTGGGTTTCTTTTGTGACTTAGAATTGAAGTTTGTTCAGTAGTTTTATGATGCATTACCTTGACAAATGCGACATATCAGATGGACAGCGCAGTGCACTTGGTACAGGAAGTGGATGGAGTGAGAATTATTGGCAATGAAACTCATGAACTGTTACAGAAAGTTCCTGGTAAGTCATGCAATGTACTTTGACATGTTAAACTACCCTTTTGTGCATTAAGTCTACTCGAGTTAACCCTTTAACTCCCAGGAGTGACCAAGACAGAATTTCTCCTTACATTATCAATACAATATCAAGCAGACAAGTGATGAGAATAAAGAAAAATATCAATTAGGGGATTATAAATTGATCCAATATCAAATTCTCCATGCTAACATCACAAGAACTGTATGGCAGACAATAAGGAGAATTACTAATGAGATCTTGGGAGTGAAAGGGTTAATAACGATTTTTTTTTCCTCTACCCCCTTTGTATTCTTTTGTATTCTCGCGCGTGATTTCACAAATTAGTCAATCGCATAAAGAACTCGAACGTTGACTCTGGAAAACCGACGTGGACACTTTTCGCGTACTTTGTGGTTTGTTTTTTCACGGAGTTAAGCTGTTTTTGAGCTTTCGTTCGCACAAATTTGTTGCCCCTTTGTGTGGAATTTAAGAAGTTTTGGAGTTTTTATTTTAGCCAAATGTTGTGGTTCATTAAACAAGTTTAATACATATTTTCGACGGAGTTTGGGCTCAAGCCTCTTTTTTCGTAAATGGGTTTCTTACAGGCACTGTGAGAATAAATTGTTTTTCCTTTATTCCTTATTTGTGATCATGACTCGGCCAGATCTCGAACCCAGACCTCCCGACCGGGAGTTCAGAGCAGTAACTATTCGGCACTGCGTCTCCCACATAAAATGATACTTAAACCAAGCAAGATTTATACCACATGACAGATCGTTTCATTGTACTTGCCTTTTACTTTGAATGTACTTTTTTGTTACCCTTTTGGCTCTAATAATTACCCAACTGCATTAAAAGGCCCTTGTTGTTTGATACTTATGTTAGGCTAGGCCAATTGATTCACCAGAGGGTTTGTGTTGCAAGGGTAGAACCAGAGCGAATAGCAAACTCCTTGGCAAAAATAAGGCAAACAAACCGAACTACCCTCACGCACCTATTAACACTGCTTGGAGACCAATGCGTCGTTTGAATACTTGGCTAAAGAATGCACTTACGGGAAGGAGGAGCAAGATCAAATAGGCAAGTCAGCAACAGAGAATGCAAAGCAAAAGCATAGTATCCCCTGCCCTCTCCTCCCCTCTCCTTTTCCTTCATTCACGCAAAGTGTATGGAGCATCTTCTTGAAATATTTAGTTCGGAAAATATGTATACAACATCATAAGAAACTTCACCTTAGCAATATCACCGACTTTTAACTTTCACTTTTTTTCATCTGTCGTCCTTTCAATTGCCAGCGGCCGTGGAGCAAGTGTTCAAAATTGGTTCAATGGAACCTGGAGCCATGTTGTATGATGCATCTAAAGAATTTGAGGCAAGTGATTACAAATTACAAGTTGATCTCACTGTGCGACATACTGTCAGTTTATTTGTTGAGTTTTTGTTCGATCGATCTCAATTTATGGTTAAGATTACGAGGTTCACTGAGCCACGTGCTAAATGTGTGGGCGTGGACGGGTTGAACGCATGAATTCGATTCCTCTTTGTTAATGTCAGAGAAAGGAAAGAACGAAACAAGAGGAAAAAGTATTCCCTGATGATTTGACTTATTCCTGAATATTCATTTTGTAAGCTCCTGAGAGATGCTTTTGTGGTTTTACCGTGGAACTTTATCAAACTTCAGTCTCGAAAGACAAGAGCTGTGTTTTCACAGCTCCCCAAACTTACAAACGTATTATAGTCCCAATATTCAAGTGTCATCTCTCAAGAAACACTTTTTTATGGCTGCAGAAAAAGAGTGCTAGAGCCGAGGAGTACATTCGCATGATCAAGGATCGCCTTCCAGAAGCTGTACAGCAGTGCATCCACGCAGCTGCAGGAGAGTATGAGCCTGCAGTACAAAGAGGTCTTTTGAGGGTAAATAAACTCTTAATTTTATGTTTTGATTGGAGTTATTATTAGTAGAGTTTGTAGCTCGTTGCTGACCAGTTCAAGTTTTAAAATTTGTCTTGAGTGATTCTTGATACTTGTTAAACAAAAATCTGATATTTGAAAAGAACGTAGGCATAATCTATTACTCCGTGCTCAATTGATTTTCGGCGGAAAGGACAGAGAGTTTTTTTACACTCTCAACGCAGTCCTTAAGTATTTTAATTGACGCATAATGTAATCATTAAAAAAATAGAGCTTTCAACAATTGTCACAAGCTTGTTCCGTGTTTGCAGCCGGATACTGTTTGTTCAACAAAGCTGCAGAAATCTATTTTGCGCGTGTGGTCCTATTGAAAGCTTCATTTGATACAGGCCTTTTTGTCATGAGATAGCGTGAGAGAATTGTTTAATCTAGAGTTCGATCGTCTTTGCTGTCTTTATTGTTCACTATTGTGAGCTACTTCCTTTTTGCCTTCCAGGCCGCGTCATTTGGTAAAAGCTTCTTAACTGACACGTCTCCGCAGGCATTCGTGACAATGTGTAGAACTCTGAGAGTTTTAAATGCTGTGCGGGACTACATGGTCGGTGTGCCACTCACATATGGCCAGTATCCTTTTAAAGGCTTTGAAGTGATCAACAGTCAACTTCTTGCAGCAGTTTTATTACGTTACCTAGCAAAAAAGTGTTGATAATTTATCAAAGTATCAGCGGAAGGATTGGAACTTGACATAACACATTCCTGATCCCATCTTGGAAGTTAAAGGATCAAGGAATACAATGTTATGCTCATGATCCGATTGAATTCCTGTTAGAAAATTTTCAGGAAAAGTTGAAGTTTGATTTGGTTTCTACCTGGTCACTGTCGCAGATTTATCTGCGTTAAAATCTAGAAAATCTTGAAGGAAACTAAGGAACGCAAAAAAATACGTACTGGAAAATGTCTAAAAGACTAAGTAAATTGCATTTGGGTAATCGTGGAAAATGATAGCTTCGCACGCAGACGTTTTTGGGCTTGCTATGCATAACATGTTGGAGGAATGCGTGACGTGTCTGTGCTCTCTTATTCCACGTTAAGACCTTAACAGAGTCTGTAGACTGGAAAAGCTTATAATGAAAACCCTGATCGACAGGTAAGAATGCGGTTTCGCATTTTAAACTTTTTTGAGTTCATACCCTAAAAAATCGGCTGTGACTTGATCATATTGTTAGCGGACGTTTACGTAGCATGAAGCTATCAGATTTTTAAAATTCTTCTTTCCTTGAGGCCTTTGAAGAAGGAAAAAGTCCCGATCATTGCCTTCTATTTCTTAAGTATGGAAATTATTGGAAAGAGGAAACTACCCTACATTTGTTTCCTGACGTATTAAAAGTTCTTTGGTTAATAATCGTTTTTTTAAATCAGTTTATTGGCTTAAGTATTTCATTAGTTTATCATAAGGGAATATTACATCAACTCAATTATCGGTCTTGAGAGTGTATTAAGACGTGAACTTAAGTAATAAATTTACGTCTTAATCATGTGAGTTTTATTTGGGTGAGATTATTTTACTCATTTCTCTTCTTTTAGACTTGTTTTACGACGTCACTACTGTCTGGCCATTCGGATCTGCGATTATTTAAAGATTCCTAAAGGGGAAGGAGCCAGTCGTATTCTTGGACACTGGGCTTGTTATAAAGTATGCTTCTAATTAAGAGGCGCTTGTATTAAGGAAATCATGGTGCACACTGATTTTTCGCTGTTCTTGATTGAGAATACAAAAAATGACTTAACCCTTTAACTCCCGAAATGTGTTTGTTAATTCTACACTCTAGCTGCTACACATTTCCTTGTAAGTTAGTTACGATAATTTGGTGTTTGATCAAGATAACAACTTCTACCTGATAAGTTCAACTATTCTTACCACCTATTTGTTGAATAGCGTTTGGATATCATGCAGAGAAATTACATGTTAATCACCCCTAGGAGCTAAAGAGTTAAACGTAATGTTTCCTTATTTGTGGTTCAAAAGGCATTCTGTCGTAGACTAAGAATGGGTTCTTAGGATTGTTTTCTTTGTATGAAGTGTACACAGTTGCTCCACAGTTTGTTATGATTATTACGTTCACTACGTTTTTAACTTTCCTTCTCTCTTTAAGTTCCACAAATCTTGACGTCTAGCATTACATTCCAATCAATCAAAGTATACCATCTGAATTCACTTGGTCAGAGAAACTGAAAAGTAGGCCTATTTCAAATCACAAAGAAAAATTCATTTGTAAAAGTAACGATTTATCAGTTACTTTCCTGGAAATTTCCTAGCAATACCTAATCAATCATTTCTCGCCTTTCCCAAGATACTTACCGTGCAAATGGTTAGAATTTTCAATGTTACCACCTCTTCAACCAAATCGTTTCAGTTTTTATGATTAAATGGTCTGTTGTTATTAACTAATTGATAAGACTCCTATCATCTTCCGTCAGGTTCAACAAGCAAATGTTGATGACGAGGAGATAGCTCGAGCCATCAATTCCAAACTCGGAGAGACCCCTGGGATATCCTACTCGGAGATCGCGTCCAAAGCAGTGGACTGTGGGAGAACCCATCTTGCTATCAAGGTTGGTCCTGCTGTTTTAACAAAATGATCAAGAAAGATTTTCTCCTCACACGCAAGATGGAAAAGTCTTGGGGTCTAAAACGCATGTAGTGTCTATTCGCTTTTTGTGCCCTTTCTTAGTGATTTCCATGTTCAGTTTTATTTATGTGTAAAGTCGAAGGAAACATCGCTGAGCTTTTTCTTAACGAAGACGAATTAAATTTGTCAATAATGATTTCCAAAACGATGCCACCAATGAAACTCCCCAACTTGGAGCGATACTAGTGAAACTCACTGAATGAGAACAATGTGACGAGATGCAATTCCAAAGGAAAGGTTATAGAGTAGTTGCTTCACATGGTCTCAGGTTTTAAGGATCTTACAGTATATCTCTTTTTCTAACAGCTGCTGGACTATGAAGCAAAGGCTGCTGATCAAGTCCCACTGCTCATGCGTATGAACAAAGATGACTTAGCGCTTGATAAAGCGGTCATGAGTGGTGACACAGACTTAGGTAAGCAATGAGCATGCACACTGGTATCAGTAGATAGCCCTTAGGAGTTAAAAGCAACTGGTTTACTGCGATAAAACAATGTCAGTAATACTCACTTCCGTTCCCACAACTGAGAAAGTTTATTTTGTCAAACCTGCGATTAAATTATTACTTTAAAGTGATTCGTACCCTGAGGATAAAGAACTTTGATTGATGTCACCTTTGATTTAAATTTGCTGCTATTGGAAACAAGACTCTGTAAGATTCTTAACGAAGGTTTTCTTGACAAGAATGTATAGTTTTAAACCCTGTGACCCCACAGAGTGACTAGTATCTAATTTCTCCTTACATAATCACCCCTGAATCACACATAAAGGTCTGAGAATTAAGGAAATGATCACCTGCCAAAGAGGGTTTTAATTTTAAAACAAGTTCTCCTTGTCAACACCCTGTAAATGGTACGGAGAACAGTATGGAGAATATGCATACTGATATTAGCGAGTAAAAGGTTAAGCAAACTCCTTAATTGGATATCTTAGCCGTTTTGTTTCCATCTAACCGCAAGTCCTGTCGCAAATCCGGTGATTTAAGTGTCTTTTTAAAGCCAATTTAACTTAAAGGGAAACTTGTTAATGACTTTTTTGTGATGAGCTATGCGTGACATTTGGAGGATGTAAACATGACGTATATTTTCAGTGTACATGGTTGTGATGCATTTAAAGGACAATTTGACTTTGGGAGAGTTCCTGATGGCCATACGTCACAGGCGTGTAGCCCTCAGCCTCTACATCAAGGTGAGGGTTTTAAAAATTGTGGATCAATTGCATGATAGCACAGCGAGGTGGTCCAAGTGGTTTTTGTAGCTTGGACATGTTCAATTTTAGCAGGTGTTTCCAAGGGCGTTAACATCAAGTTTCAAATTATTTTCTCATTGGCTTTAACTGAGAAATATCTCGTGAATTTACCCAAAGCTTCTGAAATTAAAATATGTTGTATGCATTGTTAATCAAATAGAATTAAGTTTGTTAAATTATTTTTACTTGACTGTGAGTGTCTAGTTTAGGCTGCGATTCAGCTGTTGGGCATGCATGATCAGAGCCTTGTTTATAGAATGCCTGAATACGTGAAATACACCTGCAAACCTATTCTTGACGAACTGTTCCGCAGTGCATGTACACATTGCGCACCTCTTGCCCTTATGCCTTGCGTGCCATATGTACGCCTTGTGAGCCGATTTTTTACTTTCGTTATCCGGTCGTCAAGAAGGTGAGAAACCCAGGATGCATAAACGCTTTTCTTCACTGAAAATTGATACATGCAGCTTTTTGAAGACTTGTGATATGCTGACCGTTATCATCAAGACGACAGGAAAAGAAATACTACTGTTCCAGAAATGTTTCTTGGAGTATAGATATCGAGCGTACATGTAAGCTTTGCAACTTTATATCTATTTCTGTGAACCCATAAGTTCTAATCGTGTTGATATGTACGATTCGCGGACTTTTTTTCACTTGCAGTATTGTAAAGAACAAGACCGCCGCACACTCGTGGACTTGTTTTACCAGGACGATCAGTTTCTGAACAGTGGCAACGCGTTTGTTCAAGACAGCTACAGCGAAAAGGTAACGTCAGGATTTGAAATTGGATACGTAAGATGCATGCCTAATTATAAGGACTGAAATGCGACGGGTTTTAGAGCAAGTTAAAGACTGGAACTTCCATCGTAGCGCGATGAGATTGCAAAAGTTCCGTTCGTCGGAAGCTTGCACCGCGGAAAAATAAATTTGTTCATGCAAAACGACATTTAACCTATTAGAGACTACGAAAAATCAATGTAAAGAGTGAGAGACCCGTCATTATTTATCGCCGAGGGTTGAAGGATTTTGCTTGTGTTACGATAATCATTTACCGGATCTCCCCATAAGGCTCTCTAAGATTCTTATGATACCCTCTCATTTATCAGTAAATTGTCATCAACTTTCTATAGTCCTCTTTTATACTCTGCCAGAGACGACTGATCCCTCCTCGCTCCGTTCCCCCCCTTCCCCCTCCCTCACGGGGAAGGTTGAAACATATTACGAATGACGTGCAAGATGCACAAAATGTAGTTCCATTGAATAAAAATAATAATGATAAGCCATGGTTATTGGTAACACTCTGTGGAAATACGGACCATCGAAAATTATAGCGAAGATTTCATTCCCCTTTCCTTTAGACGCTGGAAGCCAAGAATAAAACGTTGTCGAAGGCGCAGATGTCTTACCAGCAAGGGAACTTTACGTTTTATGCAAAGGTAAGTGTTGATTATCTCGCGCCGTTATATCAAAGTCAATGTCTGGAATTCAATAATTCCTCGTGGGGAACTAAAGCCGTTTTTTCCAGTTTGTCACCTTCGCGAAAAAAATGTCTAAATATTTCTCTCCAGAGGTGAACAGTTTTTGATATTGTTGTAGCTGTTGTCAAAGGAAATATTTCAATGCCCTGGTCAGTGCTTGAACCATGGATAGAAGCAAACAAATTCACTCATTGATATGCGTCTTTTTTGTTTTTTTGATTTGGATTCATTCTCAGTTTATTTATTTCCTTACGTGATGACATTTGGTCACGTTATAAGAATTTTTTTATAATAGTCTCCCTAAGTGGAGTGCAAAATAAACTTGTGGAGTGTTTTGCAATCATTTCGAGGTTTTTGGTCTCATGTAGGCAACAGAAGAACACATAAAACTCATGGAATATCAAGATAAACTGGAGGAAAAGTACAGAAAGAAGTTCATGGATATGTCTTTAAGTGATACCATTTACCAGGTATGAATTCATGTAGCATCCAGACTTTAACTCCTAAGAATGACTTACTTTAAACTTCCCCTTGCGATCCAAATATGTTGCCTTGCAAACGGGTTGTAAGAATACACAAGGCTATCAGCTCGAGGCTGTTGCCTTCCTGTATCACCAAATACTTCTCCCTAATTTGCAAGGAAATGTTCGGCAGTCACTAGGGAGAATTACTAATTAGATCCTAGTTGTTAAAGGTTCAAAATTGTGTGATTAGATGTGATTATGGGTTCAACCCCTGTTTGGTAGGAAATGAGAGGCGTTTATATTGATAGAAGCTCTTCAGAAACAAGGTTACCGCTTTTACAGTGTTGGAATGACTGAGAGAAAATCGTTTTTTGTTTTTCGTTGAATAATAATTAATTCATAGACAGTCTGAACCACCGAAATATCGACAACGTTTTCTTGAGAATACGTTTTTTCGTTGCAGTGTGTACTTCTCGGAGACTTAAAGGCAGCCGAACAATTGAAGAAAGAGTTTAAAGTTCCAGACAAAAGGTTTGTTGCAGAACTGTTCTCTTCGAATACATAGTGTGAAGCGAGCGCGAGGAAAGTGCGCGACGAGCGTGAGGAAAGCATGAAGGGTAAGTCATTCGCGAGATGAGGAGTGCTCCTCCGCTCGCGCGTGTTTCGCCCCCCGCGCTGTCCTTGGGTTCGCCTTGCGCCTACCCCGCCCATTGCCTGCCCTCGCCTCGCGCCTCGGAGCGTCCGGAGTATTAATCGGAAGGTCGTAGGTTCGACTCCTACAGGAAGCACTCGGAATTCTTTTTCTCCGAGTGTGCTTATGTCATTCTCCGAGGAACATCTTCGTTCCCTTTTCTCTTCCCTTTAATCGCTGAAATCAGAGTTTATTTTCTTGCTTGATTTATATTCTTGTGATTCTAAAGCAGTCCTACCCAAATTGCACCGAACATTCAATTAACTTAATGATAGTTTTATTAGCCTTCTATACTTTTTTATTGCACAGGTTCTACTGGCTGAAAGTTAGGGCACTTGCTGAAAGTAAAAGTTGGTTGGAACTAGACAGGTTTTCAAAAGCGAGAAAATCTCCTATAGGATATGAGGTGAGGTTTTGCGTTTTTGAAGTAAGTTTTCATAACTTGCTCTCAAACTGTGTTTCATTCCTCCTCGATCCTGTCGCTCTTAAAGCAAACTGTTGTTACTTGAGTAAATCATCTTGTTGTGAACCCTTACATTCAGTTCTTGGTATTGCCCATGTTTTAGTTGTGTTGTGCTGAAAACTCTCTTGTTGGTGTTGTTTTTAGTGTAAGGTCAGAATTAGTCTTTGAGAAGTAGTTTTCAACGCCTTTTCTCTAAGGGTGTTGTTTATTATTATAATTTATTGAAGTTGTTACCAAAATACTCAGTTGTGGAGAAAGGCAACATTTCTGTGATTTTAAACGTTTTTCTTCCTTCATACAGCCATTTTTCGATGCTTGCCTTGAATTCGACAGCAAAATCGAGGCAGAAAAATACGTCCCTCGGGTTCTGCCAGAGAACAAAGTGGCCTGCTTTGTCAAACTTGGGTATGAAAACCTTTCTTATATTTCATTTCCCTTCTCCAGAAACCTTATGAATTTCATCGCGTCATCAAAAAAGAACACACAAAAATTTACTTTTAAACGCATTATGGAATCCAAAGAGAGACCAAACCATACGAAACTGTCTAAAAGTGTGCAAGAAACTCGAAGATGAATGCCTTCGTTTTGGAAACAGCTTAGCAACATCGTAGTCCTATTGGCAGTCTTTGTTTGGTTCTGTAGGAAACTTGCAATCTCGCTATCCCTACAAAAAAATATATGAGTCAAGAATGTCTCTTCTGTAGCTCCCAAATGTGCGAACAGATCACTAAGAGATAGAGAACCCAGTAACACTATGGTGAACTGTAATCATAGCATAAGCCGACCTTTTTTTCAGGTTATTCTTCAATCTTCACATTTGATTTCATTCTACTTGTTTTTGAAAGATGAAATTCATTTTGAATTTTTCTTTTGCGCACGAAAAAGCTTAGAGATGTTTCTAGCATATACAGGAAGGAATAACTGACAATTTGGGAAGGTCCTTTGAAACTAGTTTGAATTTTCGCGACCCCTTTCGAAGAAAAATTAAGTCACATGGACAAAGGTCGTAACTAAAATTATCTTTCGGATATTTGTCTCAAACTATGATGGTCAGTCTCAAGACAAACTGAAATTTTATAAACCCTTCTTAAGTTACTGGTTTTATTTCTGTTCGCAGGAAATTCGAAGATGCGGCAGAAACGGCTTTTTCTCAGAAGAGCGAGGAGGGTCTGGATCTAGTTCTTGGAAAATGCGCATCATCAAATCGAACGCTACCCAGTCGTATTCAGGAAATGAAGGCTCATTTACGCCAGAGGCGATAACTTTTTATAGGGCGCAAGAAAATGACCGAATATTTAATTTTAGAAAGTTTTCAATAAAATGAAGCGAAAAAATTAAAAATATTTAGGAAAATTAGATGTAAGACACAAAGGGCCGGTTATTTCCACGAGATCTGTTCGAAACCGCGGTTTTACGCAATCAGTGGGCCTCACAAGGTCTACATAAGAGGGTTGTTTTCATCAAATAATTGTGCTTTCACTGCTAGCTTTCAGCCCCATGGACTCTGTTAACAAAAATTTAATGTTCAGATGAAAGATTAAGCTAAATTCAAGATAGTTTAGTGCGTGGTTTTGTTAAACGACCCCGGACTAAACTTTGTTTAAATAACCGGCCCAAAGTGATAGCAAGGTGAAGTCGCGTCACTCAGTCAGATTGACTTGCGCTTTCTGATTGGTCGACGGACAACTCATATCTTAATTATCACATTTAATGCATTTAATACTGAAAACTGCATTTTTTTCCAAATTACCGCCGTGGTATTTTTGTCTCTGTAGTAGTTGGTTTGATAATCACTTGAGAAACTAGAGAAAAACAACTGTGAGATTTAGTGAAACTGTATCATTAAACATTACCTAGCAAAACTTGAAACTTGCGTGAAATTAGCCTTTTGTAACTAGTGGTAATCAGAGAAAGCGAATTGCGCTCGACTCTTGTTTGTTTGGTAGTGTGTTTTTTTGTTTTTTTTTTTTGTTTTTTTTTGTTGTTTTTTTTTGTCGTTGTTGTTGTTTGTGTTTGTTTATTTGTTTGTTTTCGTTCAGAGATTTAAAGATAATTGTTCTTTTCGAGGCTGAGAACCTCTTGTATAATTTTTAGGGAATTAATCAGAAAAGACCACGACGCTTTTGTCCTAGTTTGGACATTCCTATTTGTTTTTGAATAGTTCCAATATTAAACTATTGCGTCCGGTTTTACTTGCCTCTCCTTCTTATTCATCGTCCCGGGAAGGAAGAAGGAAATCCAACATGGCAGAAAGTTCTGTGGAAAAAAGAGAAAGTTATCGATCTCACTTTGCCATTGAAACCTGAACGGATACGGTCTCGTAGCTTCTCGACTTAAAAGCAAGTGTTTCGCTTTGGTTATATTTGCATGGAAAAAGAATGGTTGCGCGGATGCACCACGCGTACACTTTTCGTAAAAAGCTGAAGAACTACAACCTTGCTAAACACGTACTTTGAATATGATGTAAGGATAGGCTGTTCTATAGCTTTTATAGCCACACCTCCTCGTGCCCCGAGTATGTTTCGCACTGCACGACTGCACTGAGAAGTAGTTCACCCGCAACAAGTGACCCGAAATATATATCCGCGAAAGGCGACTCGCCCTGTGATCAGTTTAAACATGGTTTTTCTTAGCTCGCCAACAGATTAACAGAACAAACTAACGTATCAGCCACACGTTGTTATCTTGATTTAATACCAAATTCCTCTACCTAGTTTACAAGACAAAGTGTACGAACCGGAAGGGAGATCAGGAATAGATCTTTGCGGTTAAGAGTTGTACTCTCTTTAACTGTAGAACGTACGTTGGTGCTTAACCGCGCGCGATTCTCCCAGCTAGCCTTGTTGTCGGTGCGTTACGGACTAAATCGCCTATGATTTTATGGCAGGTTCCTTCCTCATCATATCGGGAAGATCATGGGAACGAGTTTGATTACATCTCCCACAACCCTTTTCGACCGCAGATGAATTCAGCCATATTGCACATGTGGATTAAAAAACGAGGGTACTCTATGCAGGACTAAAAGTTTGTTTATTTGATAATTCGAGTTTATTTAGCGTTTTATTTGTTTGTAACTTGGCAGAGGTAGCCCCTTTATCATGTATGCTTATGGGGCGTTGGCTGAAGTGTTTTCCTTGACTGCAAGCTGCCAGGCTGGGACAATCTACAGTGTACAGAACATCGAACTAACAATTGAATGAAGGTAAATTTATCATTTTCCGTGTAACTTTTGCATTTATTTCGATGTTGTGATGATAAAACTTAGAGTAGCTGGAAAATACCATGCTCTTCCAAGACCTCTCCATTTGTTCCATGTAACTTTGCTCTGAAAAGCGAGATAATCTAATTATATCAACAATCACAACTTTTATTAAAATGACATTCAAATTAACTTGTGGCTGGGTAATCTACAGGGTAGTAAGAGTAGATTTTTCACATGATAAAACTAGATTTTTGATCATAGAGATATTTCATATCTCCACTCAATAAAAATTTAATTAGTAGCTCCAAGGTGATTTTTATGTCCCTGAGACCCTCAATGACTAGTAAATGCATGTGAAATATGAGGTCTTAAGGTGGAATATGAGGCAAACTTTATGTTTTCAGACTGCTTTTATTTTCTGGTGATTGCATGGTTACCCAACAACAACGTTCTGTGCTAAATTTGAGGTTATGGGAACAATGCATTTATAAGATATAGGGGAAGGAAGTTTTGTTTCTAAGGGCTAGCTACATTTTTTTATAGCTACAGCCGTGCACCACTTTGCTTCAGGCATATTCTGCACCAAATACAAATTTACACAAACAAAGTGCAGAACATCAAAAAGACTATTAATAATGGTAGAGTCCAATTCGGTCAGCAATCATATGAGTAAGTTAACAAAATCAGATGACCGAGAAGAGGGAGTCTGATTTGATTATCACTTGTGTGACTGCAGACAAAATTGGACGACACAAAGTCCTGTTACCAATTGACTAAAACTATGACCAAATTTAAGAAAGAAATTAGTCTTTGATGATGCATTTTTATGAAAAAAAACAACAGATAACTCAGTAAAATCTGCAACAACAAGGTGTGCGCATGACATGTACTGTCCACATACAAAGATATGACATGTCAAGTGTCCTATTACACTTTCCAGTTACAAGCATGACACACATACAACCCTATTATCACTCAAATCAGGCTAGTAACCAATCATGTTTTAGAAATTTGTTATAGTTTTGATTAAAGCCATGATAAGAATATTCTCCAAAGTGAATCCATTTTGTACAGTGTGTAGGCTCAGTATCAATTTCTTCTTATTTTCTGAAGGTCAAATGTCTGATGGGTGAATAAGTGGGCCAACTTAAAGATTCAAGCAGATCAAACCTGATGATGTTTGCTTTCCTTTTTGATCAAGCTGTTTTATGAACCAGGTAAACAAATCCTTTTTTTTATGCCAAGTTCTGTTCTGATGCAATTTAGCAATTGCTTGATGCTGCAAACTTAGTGCACATCAGTGTCAATGTGTGTAGAACATAAACTTGAAATTTACAGTAGACTTGCAGTGTATTATAACATACAATGAAATAAGGTTGATTTCTTTGTTATTTTTCATGGTGTTTTGTAACAGTTGACTGTCTGATTTGTGGGTCCAGTAAAGAAACATTTACAAGATATATGTATCTGAAAGCATAAAGCTTATTAGAGAGTAATTTAAATCTTAAAAATGGCAAATTCTAGCATGGGGAAGGCCAAAACTAAGACACATTTAAAAAGACAGGGCTAATTAGGGCTTCTCATAAATTTTTTGGGGACTGACAAAACAATTGACTTCCTTAATGACATCAAGAGATTAACAAGCTACCTACCTGTATGGCTGACTGAATGGCTGACAGACAGTCTGAATATCTGTGACTGACTGACTGACTGAGTGGTTGGCTGTCTGGTGTATGGCCAGTTACCTACATCAGGGCTTGAAATTAAAAAAATTCCAAGTTGCCTTTTGGCGACTATCAAAGACAAAATGGTCGCCAAATGCAAAAATACAGTCGCCAAATAGTACAAGAACAGAACCTCAGATTAGTGCCTGACATTTAATTGGCATTGTTGTTCGGCTTCTGGTAGATTGTCGCCATGGTTGTGGGACAGACCAAAATATTTGATCTTGAATAACTTAAAACATGAAAACACAAAGGAAAAAACTCTGGAAGACTTCTGCATGACAATCCTACCTTAAGCAGTAAGCAAACAAAGTAATAAGAACATTTCAGGGTTACTTTAGCTAGTAAAAACTGCATCTGTCACATCGCATCCAAGAAATTGTACAATACAAACATTTTTGAAAGGCTTTGAAACACTTCTTGTTTGCATACTAACAACGATCATGCTTCCTGGTAATTTCTAGACTGAAGTAAATTATGAAAATTGCACTGTGTATTCTTCTCGTGTGATAAATGATTCATGACTTTTGGTGTAGACCCGTCTCACTTAGTCAAGCTCAAGGTGAAAGAAGGCATGTGCTTTGAAAGCCAGTTCCTTGCAACAGAATCTGTGACAGATCACTTTTAAATTCAGCTGCCTTTCAACAAAATGTTGTGCCTGCAATCACCATGTAGAAGCCACTGTAATGTTGTCTCAGAAGTCACAATTTGAAAGCGATTTCAAGTTTTAACTTAAAAGTAAACAAACTTTATTTGCATTTCCTTTTGCAGAAGAGCAGAAACGAGACTTAGAAAATTGTTTCTCATCTTTAATCTTTTATTTATCAGAGGAACATAGTTGCCAAAGTGGTGACTAAACTTGAATTTTTAGTCACCAAGGTAGAAGTTTTAGTTGCATTGGTGACCGTATCATTCGCAATTTTGAGCCCTGTACATGTAGTTGAGAGACTAACTGACTTAGTGTCTATCTGGCTGACTGATAAGCTGACAGATTGGTGAGCTGACTTACTGATTGAATGACCATATGATGGACTCACTGACTGACTGACTGGCTGACCAACTTTCTGATGAACAGCTGTTTACGTGTAGTTCAGAGACTAACTACCAACTCGGTAGGCCTGTGCACTGACTTACCAGCTGACTGACTGACTAACCGACTGACTGACCTACTGACTGACCAACTGGCTGGCTGGTTGATTCTTAATTACTAAATCTCTGATATCTGTACTGACTAAGTGTCTGATTGACTGATAAATTGAATGAACAATTGTGAAACATCGTTTCTTGCTGACTAGCTGAATGACTGACAACTGAGCAACTGAATCTTTTACTGGCTCGGTGACTGACTGACAACTGATCAACTGAATCCTTTACTGGTGGGCTGAATTACTGACTGGCTAGTTGGCACACAACAGAGTGACTTAAATTTACAGACTGACTTACTGACCTGTGGACGTTATCAAGGCTAGCAGTGTAGTATTGTTTGAACAAAATCACCCACCAAACAGTCAATGGCTTCCCTGATTTTGAAAATGTAAACTAAGAACAGACAATGAAAATTGTTGTTGTTATCATTGTTAATCCTGTGGAGCCATGCAACTTGGGTATGGATGGAACAGTATCAAATTGGAAGTTTACTCACATGTTCTTAAAGCAGTCAACTATTGCAAAATGTATGAAAAGTGGCAACATATAATTGTCAGCCTGAGAATTGTTACCATAGTGATACACAAGAAGCAGGCAAATAAACAACCTTTCAGTTTTCCATTTTGCTAAGACCTGTAAAGTAAACAGTATCTCATTTGAAAGAGCTCCCCATACCTCCTGGGTCTCTCTCCTAATTTGTCACAATAACACAGCTGCTCAGTT